TTTAGGAACTGCTGTCACCTCAGAGATAAGCATTTCTGCTTTTCTTTTTTAAAATATATTTTATTGATTTTTTTTACAGAGAGGAAGGGAAAGGGATAGTTAGAAACATTGATCAGCTGCCTCCTGCACACCCCCTACTGGGGATCCAAGGTACATGCCCTTGACCGGAATCGAACCTGGGTCCGACCCTTCAGTCTGCAGGCCGACGCTCTATCCACTGAGCCAAACCGGTTAGGCTGAGAACTGTTGTTTTATGTTCTAAGCTTTTTACTGCTGTTTTGGTTTGTAAGCCATGTGCATGGTTTTATTTTGATAAATAAATTATTTATTATGTTAAAAATATAATTATTTTGATAGAGTAGTTTTAAATAAGTTTAACAATTTTTTCCACTTAATATTTTTTCATATTATTGAACCATCAAAAATCATTATGAACTACAATTTTAAATTCTTATTTCAGTTAATAAAAAATAAAACTGATAAACTTTAAATAATTAACAAATTAGCTTCTGCAGTGAATGGATTTTTCCTTGGACCATTTGATTACAATCAACGAGATGCTCATTGGGGTTGAGTGGGAGGGTTGACTTCAGAGTACTCATCACAAAAAGCACAGGCAGCAGTGGCTGCGAGGGGTCGAGAGGTCGTCCGGGTTCTCACCTCAGGGAAGCACCTCTGGGGAGCAGCTTCAGCACCACACTGTTTGAGGTAGTGGGCCCAGTCAAAGTCCTGGCCGGGGTGGCCTAGGTAGAGACAAGAGAACAATGCCAGTCGGAGAAGATAAAGATCACATGATCTCACTCATTTGTGGAATAAAATGAACAGCATAAACTGATGAACAAAAATAGATACAAAGACAGAGAAGCACTGAACAGACAGTCAAACCTCAGAGGAAAGGCGGGGGAGGGGCTGGGGAGGTAAGAGATCAACCAAAGGACTTGCATACAAGCATAACCAATCGACATGGACACTGGGGCGATAGGGGCATGTCCTGGGGGGTGGGCGTGGCCGGGGAAAGGTTAATGAGGGAGAAAGGAGACCTATATAATACTTTAAATAATAATTACAAGCAAACAAACAAAAACAAGGATTCACATCACAAAAGCATGCCTGGCTTTATTGCTCTGCCAAATGTGCACCCCCAACTTCTAATTTTGCTAATTTGGGGACTCTAATCATTCTAGAGACAGGGGTAAAAACACTTTATAAATCCAAAGCATTGTTTGTTTATTTTATAAAACAGAGCAAATGTGGTCAAACTACATGACAATATAATTCTTTGGATAAATTTTTAATTTCAAATGAGGCATTTATTTTGAGCAATATTTTATATGATTAATTACTGGCAATTTACAAAAAAATGAGACAGTTGTAACTGGATTTGATTTGTACCAATAAATCCAATCTTATCATCACTCCTATTATGACTTAGGCTCTAAAGGAGACAGCAGTACTATGTAATCAGCTAAGACTTTTTTCTTTCATAAAGCTGTTTCCTTAAACATATCTTAGCTCCTATGAATATGATGTTCTTGACTATGATTCATGCCCTACAGAATTTCAATGCTCTTATAACCTGAATCATGAATTCATTTTAGAAGACAAGGTGAACTTGCCTCTCCACTTAAATCTACCAGGTTCTGGGTAGAAGTCTCTGCATCTGTGTGCAAGGAGCTGGGCTGCACCTGCTGTGTCTGAGGCCTCTAGGCTCTGCAGAGCTCACGGGTGCAAAGCAAGCTACTCAAGACTATGCCAATCCTACACCCAAACAGCCCCTGCAATCGCTTCTGCCCAACTGAGATTGGTATCATGTTCTACCTCTGCCTCCACCTCAATTCCTCACAGTAAATTATCTGCCATTTTCAATGAGATATTCCACTACTTTCCTTCTATTTACAAAGACAGTTGAGTTGTCTATAACAGTGCTGAAAGCCCATTAGGTTTAATCATGGGTTCTCCTTTTCACGAAAGTCAGCAGGCAGGATAAAGAACCTGGGATGCACAGAGCCTTCCTGAAAAACAAGAACTTGCCCTTGCAGATGTGCCCCTCACCTCATCCTCCCAGGCAGGCTCTCCCATTCTGTCCACTGATGAAGGAGGACCTGGGAGGCTGTCACTGTTCTCCCTCTTTCTCCTTGAAGGAAATGTGTTGTACCCCCTAGTGGTCTGAACAGTCTCCCTCTAAGATAAGGCCCAGATACCTAAAAGTCACCAATAATCTACCTCCGAGCTCTGGCTCTCACACTCTTAGAAAGAAAACTGAAGGGAAGGCAAAAGCTCTGAGCTTATGACTCCTGCTCGCACACTGGGCCCTCCCAGCCCCATGCTCCAGCAGTCAGCATTTAGCTGGCCTTCACCCTCATAAATCAGCTCTCAACAGCCACTGCACAAACTACCCCACCCTTCTGTGACCTCCCGACAGAAACAAGATGGAAGGAACTAAGGAACCACATGGAGCCCCAGGTTGTCATGAAGATGCATTTGTCACCGTGGACAGAACAGACTTCATTTAGAGCTTAACAATGTATAACTTTCAATTTACATTTCCCTACTATAATTTTAGCTTCTTTTTATGTTATAGGCATTTATATTTTATCATCCAGATATTCCAAGTTAAAAAATATTAAAAATTTCATTCAAGCTCAATGAAGTCATATTTATAAGTTTTGATTAAAGGGTCAAAGATTATATTTTGCAAAGCTGCAAACATCAGTACGTAAGTTGCTACTTTCCTATCTACTATCCCTCTATGTCCTACTCTTGACCATAAACCTCTCTCTGTACCTGAACAGTCAGTCTCCCTCTAAGATAAGGCCCAGACACCTAAAAATCACCAAGAATCTACCTCCGAGCTCTGGCTCTCACACTCTTCTCATAAGTCAGCTCTCAACAGCCACTGCACAAACTACCCCACCCTTCTGTGACCTCCCGACAGAAACAAGACGGAAGGAACTAAGGAGCCACATGGAACCCCAGGTTGTCATGAAGATGCATTTGTCAAGGTAGGACAGACAGGCTTCATTTAATGCATTTGTCACCGTGGACAGAACAGACTTCATTTAGAGCTTAACAATGTATAACTTTCAAGAATGTAAATATATGGATCCCAGGCCTTCACTTATACTTGTCCTGGGCTCCGAAATGTTAAGGAGAGGCTGGGGCATGAAGAGAGAAAGGGACAAGAGATCCAGGTAACGTATCTGATAAATCTCATTTCAAAGGAAAGTTCCTGATAACCAATTCAGAACAGAACGAATGAATACCAGGAGGGGGTGTGATGTGTAAACCATTCTTCAGACTCCACTGCACAGGGAAAATACCAGGACTGTCAACATGACACACAAAGGATCGCCTTGCATGATTCTCTGGTCGCAAATCATCCATTTCCACCAGAAAGTACTTCTCGTCAAAAACCTGTACATACAATTGATAAAATAAATGAATAGTTTTATGTGTATGTGCCCATGCACGCATGCATGTGCGTGCACACATGTACACACACACACACACACACACAAACATACACATATCATTTCCTTGGCACAACTGAACATGTTACAAAAGTTTATAGTTATGCTCTGGCCAGGTGGCTCGGTTGGTTGGAGCATTGTCCCATACACTAAAAAGGTTGCATGCTCAATTCTCAATTGCCTTACAACCAGGTTGCAGGCTCAATCCTGGTCGGGTGCATACAGAAGGCAACAATTTGATGTTTTTCTCTCTCTCTCTAAAAATCAATGAAAACATGTGCTTGGATGTGATTTAAAAAAAAGTTCTTAACTACAATGGGTATTAATACTACTACTTACACACTCAAATGTTTTCTGTGTCAGACACTATTTTAATTGAATGCTTTAATTAATCAGTTTTAATCTTCCTAACAATCTAACGAGGTAGGCACTATTATCAACTCCATTTTGCAGATAAAGAAACTAAGTTTAAAAACAGGTTAAGTCATGTGTCTCAGTAGTTAGAGCATTAGCCGGCACACCAAAGGGTCGAGGGTTTGATTCCCGGTCAGAAGCACATATCTGGGTCTCAGGTTTGTTCCCTGGCCCCAGTCAAGAAGCATGCGGCAGGCAACCAATTGATGT